AACAGCACAGAAAATGTCTCGAAATGAAAAACATAAAAGGCACAATCCTATTGTTTTCTGATTCAAAAATTAAAGGTCAATTTATTGTTCATTCTGATTTCATTTAAAATCATGTGAGCCAACACGAGCCCTTGATTCAGATATAGAGAAACAGTTTTTACCTCGACGAGTTCCTCCTGCAGTGACGCCGCCTGCAGTCTGAACTCACCTTTAAAACCTCCTCTCACACTTATTGCACGCAATAAACCAGAGAGAGGGAGAGAGAGAGGGAGAGAGAAAGAGAGAGAGAGAGAGGGAGAGAGGGAGAGGTAGAGAGAGAGAGAGACAGAGAGAGAGAGAGAGAGAGAGACAGAGAGAGAGAGCGAGAGAGACAGAGAGAGAGAGAGAGAGAGACAGAGAGAGAGAGAGACAGAGAGAGAGAGACAGAGAGAGAGAGCGAGAGAGACAGAGAGAGAGAGAGAGAGAGAGAGAAAGAGAGAGACAGAGAGAGAGACAGAGAGAGAGAGCGAGAGAGACAGAGAGAGAGAGGAGAGAGAGAGAAAGAGAGAGACAGAGAGAGAGAGAGAGAGAGAGAGAGAGAGACAGAGAGAGAGAGAGAGAGAGAGACAGAGAGAGAGAGAGACAGAGAGAGAGAGACAGAGAGAGAGAGCGAGAGACAGAGAGAGAGAGAGAGAGAGAGAGAAAGAGAGAGACAGAGAGAGAGAGAGAGAGAGAGAAGAGACAGAGAGAGAGGGAGAGGTAGAGAGAGAGAGACAGAGAGAGAGAGAGACAGAGAGAGAGAGAGAGAGACAGAGAGAGAGACAGAGAGAGACAGAGAGAGAGAGAGAGACAGAGAGAGAGACAGAGAGAGAGAGACAGAGAGAGAGAGAGAGAGAGAGAGACAGAGAGAGAGACAGAGAGAGAGAGACAGAGAGAGAGAGAGAGAGACAGAGAGAGAGAGACAGAGAGAGAGAGAGAGAGACAGAGAGAGAGAGAGACAGAGAGAGAGACAGAGAGAGAGAGAGAGACAGAGGGAGAGAGAGAGAGAGAGAGACAGAGAGAGAGAGACAGAGAGAGAGAGAGAGACAGAGGAGACAGAGAGAGAGAGAGAGAGAGAGAGACAGAGAGAGAGAGACAGAGAGAGAGAGAGAGAGAGAGAGAGAGAGAGAGAGAGACAGAGACAGAGAGAGAGAGAGAGCTGCAGGAGCTTCTGTGTTTGATCCTCTGGTCTAAAAGCAAAGAAACGATAACTCTACAAGAAGCTTCTGAAAGTTAAATCAACATCAAGTATTCTTCAACCTGGATCCTCTTCACATGTTTAAGAGAGTAATGGACAAATCCATACAACACGTCATTTGTTATGGTTGTAATGTAACCGTGATCAGAGTACATCCACAGACGTTCACACTTCTTCCACTCACAGGTTGTTATTCAAAGTCCTGAGTCCATCTTTAAAGAGGAGCTCTAAGCTGATGCTTCAGTTTCTTGTGTACCCTCCAACAGCTTTTAGACACCTTGTGACACAGCTATGAAAAAGGTTTTAAAACAACTGCTATCAGGGACTCGTTTCTATCAACAGGTGGTAAAGAGAACCCTGAACCAGTCATGAGGGAAAGAAGAACATATAGAAACGGGCACGCACCTGATGGTTTACAATGATTCTGATTCACTAGCAGGCGGCCCAGGTTCAAATCCCACCTGTGGCTCCTTTCCTGCATGTCATCCCCCCCCTCTCGCTCTCTCTCTGATTTCTGACTCTATCTACTGTCCTCTCTCGCTCTCTCTCTGATTTCTGACTCTATCTACTGTCCTCTCTCTCTCTGATTTCTGACTCTATCTACTGTCCTGTCTCTGAAATAAAAGCACAAAATCCCCAAAAATAATTCAAAAAAAAAAAAACAGGCAACAAACAACAAATCATCCTCAGAAAGACAAAGACACATATTGTTCTCATGGTTGTTCTCCTAATTCCCGCGTGATCTTGTAGTTCTCCTGTGATGTGTGAACAGCTGATCATGGCTGAGTGTCCGACAGAGCGAAAGCGTGGTGCTGACGTACTGCGGTGTAGTATGTGGAAATTGGGGGTTTACGTTCTACACAACAAGCCTTTGAGTCATCTGTAGTTTCTAAGACTGTTTGAACAACGTATTTAAACTGTATGTGAAGAAGCCTGTTTGGCCTTAAAGACTAATAAATAAATAAATAACTGGTGGTAATCTCTGTGTTGTTGTTTTGTGATGTCGTCTTGGTTCCAGAATCAGCTGATGATCCTCCGCTCAGGGTCATCACATCGTTAACCTGCTCTGTCCTTGACCAGGACAGATCTACCTGCAGCCTTGAAGGAGTGTAAGAAGAGTTTATGCTGATAATGAAAACAGGATTGTTTATTGACCCCCCCTCCGATGAGTCCGTTAAAAGTGCTTCATAAATAACTCTTCCTGGATTTAACGAGCTGATTGAGGATGGCATGATGTCCAAAGTGCTGCGGCGCTGCGTCTCCATTGATGACCAGATACTGTAGGTCCAGATAAGCTCGGGCCAGGAACACAGCGATTAGATCCGCTGTAATACCGGCTCATTGATTAGGAAGGTCTTTGTTACGTAACGTCGCCCGGCTGCCAAGATTAGAGCGGAGGAGATGCGGCTCAACGCCGACGTTGTTCTGCACGCACAGACCTATCACTGAGAATCTCTGATGTCACAGCCGTCTGTGTGTGCGTCCTTGAGACTGAATGTTATTATCTATTTATTAATTTAGAAAGTGGAGGACAGTGTGTGTAAAGGTCATGTACACTGAAAGTGCTCTGTCACCGCCGTCAGCTGCTCCAGACGAGTGTGAACGCGTTCAGTCGTTTATTCTGACGTGTAAAAAGTCTGATTTATAAACTATGATTTTAAAAAGAAAAGCCTTTGTTAGAATCACACCCAAGAAAAGAGAAATCCTAATTCCTTAATCTAACTGACATCACGCTCACTGCCACTTTACACATACTCCGTGTGCGAGGCGCTCCTTTAGCAGAAACTCATGTTTCCACAGCGAGCGCCGTGATGCACGCCAGCAGCGCCACTACGCTCTGCTCCGTTTCAAATACACTGTGAGTCAATTTGTGAAGGAGTACGCTGCAAGAAAACGTCAAGCTGGACAGAATAGAACGACCCGGACAGGAAGTCAGACAAGAAAACACATTTCAGGTTTCAGGTCATCTCCCCTGTTGTTATAAATAACCAGGATGCTGAGGCTGCAGGTACCATCGTCCATGACAAACTCACCTTTCAGCTTCAAACTCGTGATGTTGGTACAAAAAGCTCTCCAGCAACAGGTCAACTTTTTCAGGAAGCTTTGGGATTTTAACTTCAGCAACACTTTCATAAAAATATTTTATTGAATCTGTCTAAACTTTCTCCTTATGGTCACCTGGTCCGGGTGACTCAGCGTAAAGAATCCAATCAGAATGCAGAGTGTTATTAGATGGTGTGGCAAAACTGCAGGTTCGTCCCTCACTGACCTAACACACCTGTATGAAGTGAAGACTTTGAAGAAGGCCTCGTCAATCCTGGCTGATCGCAGTCATCCCTTTTCCAAGGAATTTAAAGGGGACATATTGTAAAAAAATCCTCTTCTACAGTGTTTCTGAACATATATCTGTTTAACCTGAGAGTCTACTGACCCACAACATGTGAAATAAACCATCCAGTCCTTTGTTTGTGGTCTGCATGAGTCTTACAACACAGAGAAGCTCTGTTTCTAATGTGCTCTCCTCGTGAAAGAAAATAAATCCCCTCCCCTCCCCTGATATCTCCACCTATAGACTCCACCCCCAGACTAGAACAAAACTTTTGAGCAGGTCGGCCATTTTTATTACATTTAAAGAGACACACACACCAAAACGGAGCGTTCTGTGAGAGCTGGTTTCTACAGGGTCACAAACCTACTCTGGTGCTTGATTCATGTTTTATTTTGACCAAAGCACAGAACAGATGTTTCATTTAGACCACAGGGGACTGTTTGAAAAGGTGGAGGAGGGGACTGTTTGAAAAAGGTGGAGGAGGACTGTTTTGAAAAGGTGGAGGAGGACTGTTTGAAAAGGTGGAGAGGGACAGTTTGAAAGGTGGAGGAGGACTGTTTGAAAGGTGGAGGAGACTGTTTTGAAAGGTGGAGGAGGAGGACTGTTGAACAGGTGGAGGAGGGGACTGTTTGAAAAGGGAGGAGGGGACTGTTTGAAAAGGTGGAGGAGGGGACAGTTTGAAAAGGTTGGAGGAGGACTGTTTGAAAAGGTGGAGGAGGGGACTTTTGAAAAGGTGGAGGAGGGACTGTTTGAAAAGGTGGAGGAGGACTGTTTGAAAAGGTGGAGAAGGACTGTTTGAAAAGGTGGAGGAGAGGACTGTTTGAAAAGGTGGAGGAGAGGACTGTTTGAAAAGGTGGAGGAGGACTGTTTGAAAAGGTGGAGGAGGACTGTTTGAACAGGTGGAGGAGGGGACTGTTTGAAAAGGTGGAGGAGGGGACTGTTTTGAAAAGGTGGAGGAGAGGACTGTTTGAAAAGGTGGAGGAGGACTGTTTGAAAAGGTGGAGGAGGACTGTTTGAAAAGGTGGAGGAGGACTGTTTGAACAGGTGGAGGAGGGGACTGTTTGAAAAGGTGGAGGAGGGGACTGTTTGAAAAGGTGGAGGAGAGGACTGTTTGAAAAGGTGGAGGAGGACTGTTTGAAAAGGTGGAGGAGAGGACTGTTTGAAAAGGTGGAGGAGAGGACTGTTTGAAAAGGTGGAGGAGGGGGAGAATATGTCCTCTTTAAGTTGCTGCAATCGGCCAGTCGGCCTCTCACAGGGAGAATAAAGAACCTGGAACCTCTGATGTAGTGTGCAACCTTTTACCTGAACTGATTTCTGGAAAGTTTGAGGTTTGCGTTTAATGGAAATGTTCAGTTAAATAGTGATGTATAAAAACATACTGAAGAACAGGCCTGAGTTTATGTGTTGGATTGTTGTGATGTTTGTGTAAACTGAAAATATAAAAGAGAGACTGTGAAGAGAAGAGAATCTTTGTTTTATTTTCTGTTCATATCATTTTTAGTCGTTTAAACATCAGATGTTAAAAAATGTATTGTTGTATTTTCAGTCTTTCAGGGGCACGGCTGGGCGTCGGCCACAGGCTCACAGCGGTCCACGACGGCTCGGACTTCTCCGATCTGGACTCCGTCGTACTTCCCGGAGATGGACGTCCACTGGGTCTCTCCGTTGCGGTACGTGCGGCTGAGGCGAGCTGTGTAGGGGATGTCGGCTTTCATCTTACGCCCCTCCATGCGGACTCGGCAGTAGTGGTTTGCGGGGACGGAGAGCTCGACTGAAACGGAGTGGCTGAGCGCCTCCACCACCGTGGTTCCTCTGTTGAAGGTCAGCGTCTTCTCGCCGCCCAGCTCGATGCCCCCCTCGCCGATGAATGGGATCTTGGCGGTGATGCTGCCGGCGATCCCCAGCATGGTGGCTCGGCCGATGTTCCAGGTGGTCTCTGTCTCCGTGGTCTTTGAGATGGTGACGGTCTTGGACACGGTCTGGCACTCGTTGTTGGTGACCCCGGAGATACGCATGGTCTCTGGAGGATACTGGAAGATCGCGACCTCATCGATGGCGTACTTGACGTCGGAGATGTGCTGGGTGTAGGCGTCCCTGTTGATGGTCAGGACCTGGTAGCTCTTGTACCAGTACTCGTCGCCCTCCCACGGCAGGAAGAACGCTTCAAACTGAGAAACGACCTTCCCCAGGCCGTACTTGTTCTTCCCCACGTAGATGCCAACGCCTGGGCAGGTCCGGACTGAATGCTGAGGGACCGCACCGTGGGAGCCTTCCTTCCACTCCAGGAACTCAAAGTTGTCTTTGTTGGCGAGGATCTGGAACTCGGGGGCGTAGTACTCGCGGTCTCCGTAGGGGTAGCGGCAGTAGGGGCCCAGGCTGGGGTTGTAGAAGCCGGCTTCACACTTGTACTTGCAGACGTAGTCGGTGCGCTCCGTGTAGCCGTTGTAGATCGCCACAGCTCCATTTGGCAGAGCGCCGCCCCAGTTCAACCACTCCATGTTGACGTTGTCATTGAACATGTAGGAGTCGGGGAGACTGTCCTGCTGCTCCAGGTCTGCAGGAGTCAGAGGAGCCTGCACCACATGGTTACCTGTCGACTCAGGCTCCAGGCCCTCCAGCTGCGGGTTCAGTAAAGACGCTGAAAAGAGACCAAAATGTTTCCACATGAAACCAAAACACAAAAAAAAGCTCTGCTATTGGACCATTTGGAAAACACTGGATAACCTCAGGATAATGCCTACACAAAGGCTATATCACTGACATGCTATTTGAGCTTATTCAAGTCACAAAGATAAGAAACGTTTAGTTGAACATTCACCTCTCCTGTGCTGAGAGCTCTTCTTCACGATGTCCTGCAGGCTGGCTGCAGACAGAGCCAGCAGAGCCGACAGCAACAACACCGACAGCTTCATCTGGAGACCCAACACAAAATATATTCTCAGTTTCAAAAGTTTTGTAGAAACCTTGGAACGCAACGCTTTCTGGACCCTCCTCCATAATTTGACCTTTACATTTTGTTGATCTATGAAATGTCCTTTTGGATAAACACTGCTCACAAAAAGAGACAGTCAAGCATCAAGCTCATGATCATGATTTTCAGTTGTTGACCTGTTCATTTTTCTAACTTTGCAGGACGTGAAACTTCAAATATGACAATTTGACGATACCTTTACTTTACCTTTGATTCGTGCAATTTAACTTTTACATGTGAATCATTTTGTTTCTTGAATTTGTTGTTTATTTAAATCCTGAAAGGTGCATGATGGAATTAATTTAAATCAAAATCTTGGATGTGTACTCACCCTGACAGTCGCTCCCCACTGAGTCCACTCTCAGACTCCTGCAGGTTTTTATACACGTGCAGGTTTATGAGTGAACCATAAATCAGATGGTGCACCTTCCCTCAGTCTCAATAAACTCATCCACCACCTCAGAGCAGCGCAGCGGGTGTTCCTGTCTGTGTATTCCTTTCTGTTAGAGTTATATGATTCTGTGCATTGATTGGACCTGGACCAGTTTAAGAAGTTAGGACTTTAGTGGATCTGACTCAGTAGACTTCCTGAGTCTTAATAGAGTACAATTTGGACTGTTGTTTCAAAGTAGCTGGTTTATTTGTCTCCAATTTTACACTGGCCTTGTTTAACACAAAAACCTACTCAGTCTGTGTTAATGGACGAAGCCTGAGTGATGTCGTTTAATGCAGCGAGCAGCTTGAATGGACTTAAAGTAAGAGTGTGCAACATGTTCCACATCAATAAATCATAAAGTCTGTCCTGTGTAAATGTGTCTCTGAGTCCTGACTGTCTACAATGAGGGAGAAGCTCGAGTCCCGCTGGCTGTGTTGTTGTCAGAGCCGTGTTTACATGGACGGGACGGCCGGCTCCTCCCCTTGTGTATAAAAGCTGTTTTAGTCAAGAACTAGAGAGAAGAAGAAGAACATACTCACTGATTATTTGGATGTTAGTAAGAGTTTTTAGATCACGCTCATTCTGTGTCAGTTTACATGAAATGTGAAGCTACGAGCTAACTAAAGAGCGCTAACATTAGCATGCTAACACAGCAATGTGAAGCTACGAGCTAACTAAAGAGTGCTAATATTAGCATGCTAACACAACAATCTGAAGCTACAAGCTAACTAAAGAGCGCTAACATTAGCACGCTAACACAACAATGTGAAGCTACGAGCTAACTAAAGAGCGCTAACATTAGCATGCTAACACAACAATGTGAAGCTACGAGCTAACTAAAGAGTGCTAACATTAGCATGCTAACACAGCAATGCAGCTCGAGACAAGGACAATTTTGTTCACCGTTTGTGCCTAATGGTGATTAATTTTGGTGCATTCTATTTGATAACTCCTTCATATGAACGTGAGTGGAGGGGGGGTTGGAGGTGTGTCTCTGGAGGAGAGCGGAGGCTTCAGTATGGAGGAGGCGTGGCCAAACAACAGTTTGTTTTTGTTTTGCACATTCAGTATGCAGTACGTACTATCTGTGCTGTATACTGTTAGTACCTACTATTCAGTATGCAGTACGTACTATCTGTGCTGTATACTGTTAGTACCTACTATTCAGTATGCAGTACGTACTATCTGTGCTGTATACTGTTAGTACCTACTCTTCAGTATGCAGTACGTACTATCTGTGCTGTATACTGTTAGTACCTACTCTTCAGTATGCAGTACGTACTATCTGTGCTGTATGCTGTTAGTACCTACTATTCAGTATGCAGTACGTACTATCTGTGCTGTATACTGTTAGTACCTACTCTTCAGTATGCAGTACGTACTATCTGTGCTGTATACTGTTAGTACCTACTATTCAGTATGCAGTACCTACTATCCGTGCTGTATACTGTTAGTACCTACTATTCAGTATGCAGTACCTACTATCCGTGCTGTATACTGTTAGTACCTACTATTCAGTATGCAGTACGTACTATCCGTGCTGTATACTGTTAGTACCTACTATTCAGTATGCACACACAGTAGGCAGATATTTGTTCCTACTTCTTCTGATTCATTCAGTATGGAAGTGACGTCATTTATGTTTCCCGAACCGGCCGCATTCACCCGTTTTTTTGTTTTTTTTTGTTTATCTTTATTCAAGAAGAGTAATGCTCATATACAGTCAGGTAAACAAAAAACAATATCACAATGTAAATCAAGTAAAACATTAAATAACTAAATAACATACAGTACATAAAGAACAAATGAAAGACAGTAATATACAGAATATAAAATAAACCAATAAAGACACATTTAAATAGTGACATCATTATTTAAATAGTGACATCATTATTTAAATAGAGGGGGAAAGGTTTTATAATAATGCAGATATTTGTTATATTTTCTGTTGTTAATTTAAAGTAGTGATTTCAGTCGGGACTTTAACTCTAGATTAAAAACTGATTAAATTAATCCACGCTCATTTGTTTTCATTTGGAGGTGGACGTGACGTGACGATTTACATTTAATTTCGCACTGCATTGTGGATAAAACACAATTCATTTCCTGAAAGCACGCATCTGATCCATACTGCATGAAACCAGGAAGTTAGTATCCATACTGAAATGTTCAGTATACTGAGGTGGACCCAAAAGATGCATCCTGAATGACCACGAGGGTTCAGTATCCTGAAACTCCTACTGAATAGTACTGACTACTGAACTGTGGATATTCAGAAAGGGCCCTGGAGGTAAAGATGATGAAAGAGAAATCAGTGTCAGTGAGTTGAACCTTTCTGAATGATGAGCAGCTGCACCGTGCAGCTGTGTTCATGCTCTCTTACACTCCGTCAGAGAATGAGTCGAGGATAAGATTAATGATTATTAACCAGTAAAAGAATAAACACACTGTGATATCTTATCTTATCAGGTATAGCTCCGTCCTCTATCTGTGACCTTCAGGGTATCAGGAGCTCACTGTCCTTACAACAAGGTCCAGTAAAGTTTGACTCTCATACAACAAAACAACAAAAGGTGTAAATGTTAATGAGACACATTGAAGGAGTGAGTTTTGTTTGACTTTTGGTGGACGATGCAGATATTTAACTGAGTGTGTTTCTTATGGCTGCAGTAACTGAGTTTTAAGTAGGGACGCATTATGTGAATTTTATTGAGCTGATACTGATAACTGACGATGACCTGCTCCTGATGGACGATGACGATAAGATTACAGATATATATTTTTTAAAAGATCAGCCTCATGGTTATAGCCACGTCAGCTATGTCATATCGTGACACTATAGCAGCGTGACACAGAGTAGCCCGCCAATAAATACAACGAAGAAGAAGAAAAACGGTACAGGGTACAGAAAGGGCAACAATGGAGGACGTCCAGCAGGGGGCAGCACCTCTGAGGTCGTCCATGGGGACTACAGTAACAAAAGAGGCCATGAAATGTCTCTCTCTGAATCCATGTGGAACAGGAAGTGACGATTCTTTTGACCAATCCAAAGACTGCAGTGCCTGTTATATTGATATTTGTTCCCTGTTTTATAGATTTTAAATGTAGCTGTCACAGAAAATTATATTTCTTTGAACAGGATTTTGTTATAATTACAGAGAAAATGTTTTATTTTGAAATGTGTTCAGATTCTATGCTCTGTTACTGACACCTACTGGTCTAATTGTGTATTGCGCTGAGTGTTCAGCATGCAGTGTTCACATGTTTAATTGAAGCAATAAAACGTGCTGCCAGAAGCTAGTACCAACGGTAGGACACAGATGAAGGAGACGCGTCTGAAGAACTTTAAAAGACTGCAAAGCCTAAACATGTGTGGTTAGAAGGTGCACACGGTATGTAATTGTATTTTTATTTGTAAAGGACATTTTGTTTAGCTTTTGTATAGTCATCTGTGCTCATAAATGCTTGAGTCTTTATTTACTTCATTTTAGTTTTTCACGGTGTTTGCTGACAAAAGGAAAAGAATAAATATTGGTGAAACATCAGTTGGAGCGTGGCTGATCTGTACCAGATGAAGAAACTTTGGGAGCAGTTATATTAAATATTTTTTAAGTGAATAGAATCCTTTTTATTGTTTTAATATCTTCACTTTTGTTTTAATTTCAGGTCTAAGTCAGTAGTCTGAACCT